GTACGCCATTTGAGGGCGCTGGCTGTGAGGTTTCCGCCTTTCATTTGAGTAAAGCGTGAAGACCTGATTGAAATAGCAGTGCCAGCATTTTGAAATAAGCAACGTTAGCAGTGATTTCTCAGCACTGCCCATCCCCGCCACTCCTCATTCAGCAGCACCTTGTTACCAGGGCAACAGCTACCCGCATGTGTCTAGACCTGTTGCAGCTCCACAAGACAGAGGAACAGAATCACAACTGGATCCTCACCCTGATGTAACTGGATTCAGGTAGTTGTCACTCACAGTATACTCTGTCATACAGTATTATAGAATGAGTGACACTGGTAGAAAAATAGATAAGCTGGAACTAAGAGCCACATGACTCATTGTTGCTTCTTGCATCATATGTTGTTTATAGTATATTGTATATCTTTACTAGTGGTTACCAGAAGTTGCATCTCTAACAGTGAAAAACAGGCCCTGAGGTTCTCTTACATACCACTGAAGATTTAGTCTCTTTCTTTGTCCCAGGGGCCAAACACCCTAACCCTTATCTGCAGTGGTGATCAATTACTTGTGTAAGGCTGACATAATCAAATGCCCTCCCAGCCCTAGCTAGTACTTGAGCATGCATGCTACAGAAATTCTCAAACACATAAATAAACCTAGAAGCATTAGGTTCCCTCCTTTTCTCTTTGTCTTACTTTGTTCCTCCGTCTATCTTGGTTTCTGTGTCACCCACTTTCTCTCACTGAGCTGTTTTTTTTTTTAATATTTACACCTTTTAAGGCCAGCATTGTGGAAAAAGGTTTCACCAGTTACACACATACAGTCCTGTTCAGACTTGGTCCAGGTGAATGTGCTCTAAATGAGATTGCACTCTGCTCCACTGTAAACATGACTGACAGGCCCTGCACACTGTCTCGTCTTGCTAAGGTTGCAAAAACCTGTGAGAGGGAGAGAAAATGTTTTCCAAAAAGGTTTAGTCATCTTTAATTAGTTGTGTTTCCTGGGTTCAACGCTGTTGGTATTTTTCTGAGTCAAGAATAGTCCAGTAGGGGTGAGAGCGAGAGAAATTATGGTTTAATATGAACTAACTATAGGAGAGCTAGAGGTATTGTGATGAATGTTTTAGAGGCAGCTGCCAGAAAAGGAGCCTTCACCCTATTACCCTTTTCCCTAGGCACCAACTCACCTTTTCAGTTCCTCCTCCTGCTCCTCTGTTCTTGGTTCAGACATAAGCTTTACTGCAGTGCTGATTAACATGCCTAGATAAGCTGACTGTTTGTTTAACTAAACACCACTTATATGAATATACAGTGCTATATACAGCTTTTTATGAGAGTTTCCGGAAGTCAAAAATGCAGCTCCGCTCACCTTTAGTTGGGTGTGTTTGCCACAGTAAATGTTTGGTTTAGCCAGGCGTTCAAATCACTCGCTAAGGCAAAGGAGGCGAATTTCAACATGTCATCAGTGTAGGAATGCTGCTGCCGGGTGCCCCCTTCTCTTCCTGGAGCCTTTGGCAACCTGTTTATGAGGAGGTGATGAGCAAGGAAGAGGAAGATATGAGGAGAGCACACATTGTTGCACTTGGAACAGGACAGGATATGAGGTGTGTAGGCATGGCTGAGTCATCTGATTCTAACTCAGGTTTTGGTCGACTGAAATCCTTTCAAAGCCTCTCACATAAGCTGACAAACTTGATGTCATAACTTTGGAAAAACAGTTTCTTTGCTCATGGAAAGTCTACATCTGAAGAGTTGTGACAGCAGCGACTTGAAGGGCAAGCTAGTACATACTTGAAGAATGGATTATGTCAGTCATTATATTAGCAAAGAGAAATTATGTTATGGGTCTATTTAAAAATGATTTGACATTTTGGGAAATATGCTTATTTGCTTTCTTCCTGAGAGTTGTATGACAGCTACAGCCAGCTGCTGGTTAGCTTAGCTTAGCATGATGATGGAAATAGGGAAACGGCCTGGATCTGTCCAAAGGCAATGTTCCCTGGCATCTAGGAGAAACAGCATTTCACTGGCATACTTTTGGTACTGATTCAGCAAAGAGATATAATGTGTTAATTATCGAGCTGCTGAGCTTCTGGAGGTGGATTTTGTTATCTTTGAACAGACTCAAGCCAGCTGTTTTCCTCATTGCCTGCTATGCTAACTGGCTGCTGCCTGTACTGGAGCTGAATATTTTCTGTACAGTCATGAAGTGGTATACAGTAAATCTTCTCATGTAGATAACTCTCTGCAAGAAAGAATGAAGTTAATAATTATCAAAGTGTTTTGTTCATGAATTATAACTTTATAACGCCAGCTAAACAGGTTGAAAATGTAACTGCTCTCTTAAAGCTGTCTTCCCTGTGATGTACTGTGTTTTTCACAACAACCACAGGTGTCCCACATAGCACTGCTGAGACCTTAAAACAACAGTGACTACGTTATGAGGTTGGGCTGAACCTAGGTCTTTTTAGGTTTTGGGGGTTTTTTTTCGTGGTGGTTGTTTGCTGCAACAAGTGCTCAGCCAGCCAGCGTTACCTAAGCCACCCTGAAGCATGTGTGATTAGCACTCAGGCTTGACCCCCTTCTTTCTTGCTTTGTCTGAATTCTTTGGATAATCTTGGTTTTCCCACCAGAATGGTTAACCTTGTAAGGCAGTGTTTGGAAACACTCTGCACCTTTCACAGCTGAAAAACACTTTGGATGGCAATGATTTCTGATTTAATGGTTATGCAATTAGAAAATCAGTTTGTGTAAACAAACACATACACCTACTTCCTTGTGTTTACACACACACACACACACACACACTTATAGATTACAAAATGAGCTTTCACATATTTGAGACTTTGTGGCCCCGATTCTCTACGTTTGTTAATTTCAATAACTACTGCAAACCTCGGTGGAGTCAACCCTGTCTACATTTGGTTTTAAAATGCACCTTGGGAAATCAGATCAGAGGTGGACAACACTAAATATGGGTTTAACAGCCACCAAGACGGATTGTGATCCAGTCATTGAAACCACTTGTTGAGGTGGTCTGGGATGCATTTGTCCACATACTGTATCTTTTACAGTGTAAATGCTAATGCGTCCTGATGCATCTCCGACAAGGCCGTTTGGGGAAAATACATCACTGATACAGGACGTGGTGCTTGTTTTGGTGAGAGCACGCCAATGCTCAAAAAGATGTAAAAATGCAGAGAAAGGTGCGATACGAATCCATCAATGTATTGCAAAAGCTTTCATAATACATCCAAGTGCAATTATGACTCTTGTTTTCTGCTTCTTTTTTGATCAGGGAGACTACTGGCACTTGTCTGTTAACAGACTGAAGCAATAATTGTACCTGTAGCTTTTCAATATTTAAGCAGGAGAGTCACAGTAGTAGCGAAATCTGAGCACAAGTGGTCAGCTGGGCACCTTGGAGACGCATGTGTATTGACAGGTGTAAACGATGATGTGTCTCGGCTGTCCACTTGTGATCCAGTCGTCCTAGACAAGTTTTAATACCAAGCTTAAACAGGGCCTCAGATGCCATCTGCATTACTGAATGATTACCCAGTCTCTGGGAAACCACTGGTCCTCAGATGCCACTCTGGGTTTTCTTTGATGTCACAAAAATAATTGATCAGTTGCTGTTAATGCCAACCTGTTTCAAGTGATGCAGACATGGCTTGTGGATGTCTGTTTCTCATGCATTTGTGGAAAATATTCAATATAAACAGCTTTTATATGTACCTCTTGATCTGGTTGTAATTTATGCCACAGCTCCTGAACTCAGATTAGAAATTTTATCTCCCAGATGTTCAAGTTTCAAATCAGCACTGAAGTAATTCCATCTAAGATCAGCAGCGGAAGCAAACTCACATGACTGATTTCCATGCAAAGATGAACCTTCTGAGTCTCTTCATGTTCAGGTTCAATTAAAGAGAAAATATTTTTGTCTGGGTTCTTGAGATGTTTGTGTTATTAAACTACAAGAATGTATGGCGGCATGTGGTGGCATGGTAGAGCCTGGTACGCCATGTTACTGTTTGTATAGCATTAAAAAAAATCCACCACATAACCTGTGAGTAATGATTGAACAGGCATGGCTCACCCTGAACAAGGTTTTACAAAATCCTTCACATTTCTTAGACAAGTATGATTCAGTCCTCAAGCTGGAACAAAGTTGAGTTGACTCACGAGACGTTTTGATTTGAAGGCACAATAACTTTTCTGTAAAGGTGTATTTTAAAGACTTCCACTTTCACCGCTGCCAGTTACACGTCAGCATTCAACCAGAAAGGCATAAACATTTTCAGAAGGTTTGAATGAAAATAAATGCCCTGCTTAACATCCACACTACTATCAATTTTTGTTTCCCAGACAGCAGGCTATGTGTTCCCACACACACTGAAAACAAGACTGTTGGCACCTTCCGCCTACAAAGTGGAGCTAATAGATCTTATGCTGACAGTAAATAGTGTGTCCCAGCACAGAGGCTTGTAGGAAGGAGGGGTGAGAGTAATCCTTCCACTTCAAAGTTAAAGGTGCTGATGTAGGGAGTGTCTGGGTGAGTGGACAAAAAAGATCAGGTCCATCACCAAGGAGCCAGTCTGTGTGTCTTTGTCCATGTTTGTGTGTAGTGCCCAAACTTGTTATGAGTCATGACTGCTCTGCTCTTTCCACTTTCAATTCACAGGTCGAGTGTACTGGCTCACTTTATGTGTGTCTGTGTGCGGAGCTGAATATATATACTCAGTGTTTCAGGTATCATGCAAAATAAATCATATACATTTAAGTGTCCTGCTGCTGGATGGAGAACATATTTGCACATTTAAATGTACTAGAACATGAAGCCCCAGGATGCCTTTTCTGTGTTTAGACTAGCAGGATTATCTGTGAAATTGTCTGGCTTTTTTATGTTACTGCTACTGTCTCTACAGTATGTTGTCTAACACACTTCTGATACAGTCTACTGGTAATAATCTTTATCTGTCTGTCCCTTTCTGTCTGTCTGTCTGTGTTCAGGCTTCTGGCAGGAACACCCAAAGAGAAAGCCAAATCTCTAAAAGATGTCAATGAAACAGGTGCTGTCTACTCCTGTCCCATTACCACAGACTCCACTGATTGCTCCAGAATGGACCTGGTCACCTCAAGTAAGTATGAAGGAGAGTGGGAGAGGAACTAGTATTGATGTGAAAACAAGGCTAAGAGGCTACAGCTGTTTTAGCAGCTACAAAGTTATCACCAAAATGATCTCAGTTTGTTCTGATGCTGACTTCAATTTGGTTACCAGACTTCATAGAAGCCCATCCATTAGTGGTTGACATTTCATTCAAAATCATTAATATCTACCTCATGTTAGCACTAGAGGGGACGTCAGGAGAGTCTAGTCTCAGGTCGAACTTTAGTGACTCGACTACACTTCGGCTTCTGGGGCACAGGTATAGATCCAACAGTTGAGATACACTGTAAAAAACTGATGTTTTTTAAGTCAAGTTTTCATTTGATATGAAAAACCTAGCTGCAGCTGTTAAAGCCATTTTGTACCAAGGAGGCACAAAGACAGCATGCAGGGCTATTTCTGGTGGTTCTGTTAGATACTAAATGTACAGGGGGTAGACACTGAATTCTGTATTAACCTTCATCACGGCTTGCATAAGTTTTTATTAACCTAGACTGAGCTACTTTAATACGTATTACAGACACACGGTAAGTTTCCACCAGAAATGAGTCCGTCAAACTTGGAAAAATGAACAACTGAAGAGTTGTAAATCTCACACAATGTCTTGTCTTTCAGCCGACATGATTGCAGTTTATAATTCAGGTTTTAAGCTTTGTTCGGAGCAAGAAAACACTGTACAACTATTTTCAGTCTGAGCTGTACATCCCATGACAAGTTACCTGACCATTATGTGTAAAATTGGTGGAGTTTCCTTTTGATACATACTGGGTAGAGGATTTCTCTGAGTGGGGAACAGCAAATAAAACCCAGCAGGGGATAAATGCTAGCTTCTTTTTTTATTCACTAAGGACAGAGCTAGTGTGTCAGACAGTCAGTCTTATCCCTGACATGTCCCATGCTGTTGCTGCACCTACATGATGAGCTCCAGGATACTAAAATCTGAAAGTACATCCTTTCCTAATTGAAGGTTGTTAACTGATAGACTTACCGCAGTATTATCTGGAGGTGGATATGGCCACCCAGAGGGTAGAGGTAAGAACCATTTTTAAAAAAAGGATTTCTCATCACTTCTGATGTTGAGGATGGAGTGCCTGTTGTTATAGTCATTGTGCATTTTTGTGGTTAATATCTGTCGAGGCACGATCCAGTCTGAATTAAGCTTTACTGTTTGGGTTGGTTTTCCTGTAACTGTGATTCACATAATCACGATGAATGATTATAGAGGACGACTGGGCATGGCTGCCCATGGACTGCATAGTGGTTTTGCTAAAATATAAATTAACAGTAAAAACTTGGTTGTGAAATTTTGACACCATTATTGATCTCTAATTCAAAGACCCGATATTTAAACTACCTGCATGTTAAACTTCATTTTTGCACCCTCTATTAACATATTGAAAGAAACCTTTTAAGCACTTGAATGTAATTTCCACATCTGATTCCTACCCGTATGACACATCCACAGCAAATCAAAACGAGATGGTGGAGGGCATGTGGCTGGGCGTGACAGTGGCCAGTCAGAGGGACCAGCCGGCAGGGCGTGTGCTGGTGAGATCCCGGTTTTATTCTTTTAGTCAGTGTCACAGGTGTCATATAATATACAATATACTGCAACATTTACTGTAGCGTTGAAGGGATGGCAGATGAAGTAAAACCCTCTGTATTTCATTATTTAGTGTCAGAAATGACACAGTGTGCTTGTTGCAAAATTTACTGCAGTGTACAGGAAACAGATGTGACATTCAGCGCACACACACAAACACTTGTGCTTCTATCTTTGTGAGAACACTCACTGACATAATGCATTCCCTAGCCCCTTACACTAACAATAAACCTAATTCTAACCTGAACCCTAAAACCAAAAAGTGAGGAACACCAAAAATGTCATTTTCCAAAAACGTCCTCCTCATCCTCAGTTTTATAGTCATGTATTTTTGCTTTAAAAGTCATTTACCTTCCAAACAGCTGTTTATTTTTTATGCACACACAGCACAAACAATAAGACATTCTTCTTTTATAGTACTAGCACTGATTTCATCTCAGCATAAATACATTAAGTCACTGTTATGGCACAATAAGATTGAACCGTGTACAGTGTGTGACATCACATTCCTCTCTGGTGTCCAGGCGTGTGGGCATCGCTATGTGAAGATCACCAAAAGCGGCTCAGACAAGGAATGGCGGATGATTGGAAAGTGCTATGTTAGGGGTAATGACCTGACCTATGACCCCAACGATGACTGGCAGACGTACAGTTATGAGGTCTGTAACCCCAACTTCGAAGTGCAGTTTGAAGGCATGTGCAACGCGGGCATCTCAGGCGGCATTACAGGCAATGATGTCTACATCGGTGCCACAGGCAGCTTCTTGTGGCAAGGTGGGCACTGAAGAGTTCAAGTGAAAAAGTGTGTTTTGTTATGTAACACTGAAATAATGGGCAGACTAGGCGACCTGTCGGTATTCTAACACTGGAGTTATTCTCTGTCTGGGAAATCGGTCTGTTGTGCATGAAGCAGATTTTAACATTATTGTTTGATGCTGCTTTGCTATAAAGGAAATGTTCATATAACATGGAGAAATCCGGATCCAGCGCTTTCCTGGGACTCTGAGGACAGAAACTTTGGACAGCTGAATAATCGATACAGTTATATGGGTAAATATGCAGTTTTTTCATCTTATAAATTATGAAAGCATTGGGAACATGGATGAACATCTAGCTATCATGAATTACAAGCAAACCAAAAAGAAATCAAAAGGGGATTTTCATGTCAGAATAGAATATCATAAGTATTCCTGTTTTATCCCTGGTAGTGAAAATGGACACTTATATATTTGATTTGATTTGATTTGATTTGATTTATTCTTTCAACCATGTAAAGACAGTTGATATGTCAACACACATAATTTTACACATATCCAACAAATGCTAATCCAATATCAATTTGCTTATACCTAGTACATGCTTGAATGG